ATTTAGATTGAAACAGCGAGCAGCATCCCCATAAACGCCAACCTTTCAAAGTGTGAAGGATTACCTAGAGGAGCGTGCGCACGATCCGCCTCTTATCACGTTGTGGTAAGTAAAGTAGGCGAAATAAACAGGTCTGTGTCCCTTAATGACGTGCAAGTGTGAGCAGCCATCGACACGTCCAAAAGTTCTGAGCGGTGTCTCTTTCCAGTGGCTAGTGTTACGAACTAGTTGGCTAATAACAGTTCGGTGGGAGGTTAATTAGGTCATGACAGATTGCGTCCTATTATACTGTTTATTTTTTCGATCTCATCTAAAAATACTTGAGAATCGATCCTTCTGTTCCAAGCTTTGAGGATTACTGTCAGATTAAATTCGGCCTTTCCGAGTAATTCCTTCTTCCCCATCATGTACCAGTTCCATAGAGATTCGAGCAGGAGGAGGATGAGGGAGTGGAAAGGGGGTGATATTATTCTCGTAACGTAACACTCGAAAAACTGCACTCTTCAACTGCAGCAGAACGAATGCGTCGCCCTCGAATTTTATGTTAAAGAACCTCTCCTTACAGAGAACCGAACAATCCTTTCCCGAAATGGTCAATCGATGCAAATCATCGCATTTTATTGCACAACACAATATACCTGCAAACGCACCTCATATTAGCATGGTAATAACTCACTAATTTCTTTTGGATAACCTCGATTTTGACCCACACATGAGCTTACTGTATGTGATCTATTGATCAACTTTATGGACTCCATTCCTGGTTCTGCATTTCTTTCTAAATAGCTTTCATACTGACAGTTTGAATTTAGAACTCTCTAAACGGACCAGTGACTGCAAAGTCTCCGGTTCTAAGTGCAACCATTGAAGCGGCAATGTATCCTTCTGAGCCAGATTTGAAGACAGCTTTGGAGGTACTCTTTCCTGCATTGACGATCTGATACTGGTAAAATAACCTGGAGCAAGCCATGAAGCTGCATAGGGGTGATTGCCAGATATTTTTGTGTCTCCGCCCATTATTGGAGGGACGACACAGGCCACACTCTTCGGAAATACTGCTGACCCGTTTGCTGCAGTACATGAGTGACCACTTGCGGTTCTTTTCCTACACCAAACATGTTCGCAAACTGCTGATGTTGACCTGTAGAGAACAGTGACGCTGAGAGGGTGCATACAGGTAACGATATGCCTGGTGGCGTACGGTTGGTTCTGCGGCGTGTTGCATGTCTGCACGCTTAAGCTACGAGCGGAGACACAAATGGCGCCGACTGTCACTATCCTCTGGCTGAATGTTTGCCAGAAATGCCCAGGTTACAAGAAAGGTCGAGCATGGTAGACTATCCTCTGGCTTCATTTCATACGGTTTGTTGTACCGCGTTTGCCTGCCTCGCGCTTGAATGGCGAGCGGAAGTATGATAAACTTCATACTATCACATTCTTTTGTATCACTTCTGAGAGACGAAAATGGCATTCCTGCAGCTGCATCCCTGCCCTAAGAGCTTAGGAAAGGATTTATTTCGCATGTGGTCCGTCAGCTGTTTTTACTATTAATATTTCCTGCAACTGTTTGTGGAATGAGCTATTCGTTTCTTTGCTTGAAGCTGGAAGAATATCTTGAAGCTGTTATCGTTTGATAACTGCTGCTTAACGCCGCACTACGCGATCCGAAAGCTATATATCTTGAAGCTTGTAAAAAGCAATTTTTGGCTGCTGCAATGTTCTGCTTTTCTGAGGAATTGTTATAACCTTCTCCTCAACGGTACTGTTTCAGCACCATAACGACATTGCTATGGATAACGTAAATGGAATAGATATCCATGATTGCCAATCCGTGCTTCCTCCACGACGTGTTCGTTCCTTATCACAGGTACTCTTGTCGAAGAGGCTAATTTGAAGGTGGCAAATGTACCTGAAATGTTTTGCTCCCTGCCGACGAGTTGTATTGAGGTCGCCACTTGATTTTTTACAAAGAAAATATGAATCGGCTATTGAAATGAGTTGTAGCGTTGACCTGGCTTTGAGCTTTTCTGTGATAACTTGGGTGGTAAATTGCTGGCACGTTGTCATTATTCAATTGAGTTTGCTATGCGTGCCTGTAGTAACTAGTCAGCTGTCCTATTTGGTACTTGCACATTCTGTGCATTACCCACTGATACGCCGCCTCTTCATAGATAGTGTGTTGTGCCATGGACGAGCAGATCTTGAAATAACGACGCCGATATTTTGTAGTGCGCTGATTTTTGAGTCCAGTGTCAAAATGATAAGTGAACATCGAGAGGCGCTCAGCAGTTGTGCAGCTAATTATCTAGGCTGTCTTAATACTTCGCGAACTGGCGTTGAAGCGCAGTCGCGCGCCTGAATCGTTCGAGTCGCGTTGTCGCTTTCGAGTCGCGAACTATGAAAACAGCCTAAATATTAGGTTGTCCGGAAAGTTCTTAGCGTTTTGGGTGTTTAACTTTAAACGATCATAACTTTCTTAACACTAATAAGATCACAAGAGCGGTTCAGCAG